ACACACACACACACACACACACACACACACACACACACACACACACATCCTTGAGGTAATCGTGATGGAACGGACATGTTTGAAATGGAAAGGGGGGCAAGCGTGTCACATACAGATTTTTCGTGGGTGGCAGGTGACGGGAATTCGATCTCCAAAACATCCCGGAGGTTGAGCAAGACGCCGGAGTCCGGGTTCCTGCCAGCAGACCACAGACAGCTCCTTCACACACTAATTAACCACATGCAAATGAGCCTGCACACACACTGGGGGATGATTAGCAGACTCTCACCATCGGTATATATATATATATATATATATATATAAAATAAATAAAAAAAGCATCTCTGCTGCTTCAAACTGGAGGGAGATTCTCCTCAGATGTATCATGCAGGAAGAAAATATTAAACGCCCGTAGTGAAACACACACACGTGTGTGTGTGTGTGTGTGTTTCACAGTAGTGGAACTGAACTGGACGATTTGCTCAAAGTCAATGTATCCCAACAATGAACGTATCTACTAACAAGTGTGTGTGTGCGTGTGTTAGCGTGCGTGTGTGCGGCCTGGTAGATCTTCCTCCATTGTTGACCAAAAACATTAGAAAGCTGTCAATGAGCCACACAGTTGCTCCTTCATATGACAACAGGATTTGTTTTATTAATTTCTCTGACATACTAGACTCTGACATGTTGTGTAACAAACATTACTATGATGTTGTTTATGGCTGTTTTTAAGGTGATTTCTTGATGACGTACTATACTATGACTTCTTGTAGGGCTGACTATACTATTACATTTTTTTTACGACAAACAATGCAATGACATTTATTAATATCATGGCATTCTTTAAGATTTCCTTTATGGCATATTGTACCAACATGTTTTTGTCATCTTGTATGGCATACTATGCTAAACATGTTCTAGCTTTGTTTGATGGCAGACTGTACTTTGACATTTTGAAGGATCATCTTTAATGACTTTTCTCTTGTTCCACTACTAAAGATTCATACACGGTGAATATCACACATGAAACACACTAAACTCTTCATATGTTTGAAACACAAACTTGAATAAACTCAAAATTCGGTTGATTTTTGAAATACGACACGATTTAAACAGAAAATATTATTTAATAAATATGATAATATGATCATTTGTTCTTACGATATGACTCGTGAGTTATGATATTGTGTTATGCAGGAGCCTTACCACAGGTGCATGTTGGCGTTCAGCTTGTTCCTCAGAGGAGTCACCGCTGCAACACAAGAACCACAACATGTGTTCAACATCTGCAGATACATTATGATCACACAGAACCAGCAGCTCCTCACTCACCAGCTCTCATTCCTAAATGCAAAAAGCAATATTTGTTTGAGACCCGTCGTGTGTGAGGGTTGCTGAGGTGTGCATGTGTACAATATCTGTTGAGTCGCATTGCTAGGCAACAGGCTAGGAGTCGCATGACCTTGGGTTTACAGAAACAATGGCCGACAATTGACGAGGACTTAAATAGGCTCTGGCTCGGGCTCCAATGAGAACTGGTGACATGACAACAGACGAGACGGTGAAGCAGCAGCGCAGCAGAATAACGGGCGGGGTTACTTCCTGCTGACGTATGAAGAGGGTCAGCACAGTTAGTGATGAAGCAGCTCATCAACTAGTTGGATAAACTGTCAAATGTGTGCATGCTTAACAGATGTGAACCTTCTGTAAAATATGTGAAGACTTTAGTTTAAAAGTAGATATACCTTTTCATAAAATATATCATTTTATTCACTGGTTTGTTGAATACATACATCCCAGACTGTGGTTGTTGTGATTTATTCATCTAAGGCACCAACAAGGTTCCTGACAAACAACAGATGTTTGTTTGTTTATTTTACTGGAATATGTAAGTACAGCTTCACCTCAGTGTGATATGATGCTTATTCTCTTGTCCAGCGGGTCACCTTCATATGAAGTGGTATTAGGCAGCCTATCGTGGATCAACCTCTCATTTGCATACCATCAGTTCCTCAGTTGGTCAACATTTCATTGGTGACTTTGACCTCTCATCTCATGTGTGTCACCTGTGATCTCTGGAAGAACCTTTAAGAAACGATTTACCCACAAACCTCGTGGCTTCACTAGCGAGTGTGTGGGGTCCTACCCACCGTGCTCGGCTCCCAGCAGGCAGCACTCTGGCAGCATCTTGGGGTGTCTGGGATCCAGCTCCACTTTGATGGATACGTTGGTTCCTGCAATAATAAAACAATGGATTGTCATTTCTGTATGTGTGATATACGATCAGCCTGTGAATGACCTGTGCAGTATGTGCTACTGGGTACACACATAAAGCTGAGATCTCTCTTCATACCGATGGCGATCCGCCTCATGGTGTCGGACCGGCTGGGTTTTTCCGGCTCCAGAATCCAGGTCTTGCTGTCAATCTCGTCCAGGACTTCCCAGAACTCGGTCAGGGACTCCAGAACCAGCAGGAACTGGCTATGAAGCTGGTCCAGAGTACTCTTAACAGAACAAGCACAGTGGTCACTTCCTGGAGAATGAGGTGCTCCAACCAGCAGTGGAGGTTCTGCTGTAAAGACCTCTTCTTCACTTTACTGGACTAAATGTGTAGTTTTGGTTATTGAAAGCTAGTAACAGTCCAGTTTACAACTTTGAATGGTTTTAAAATACAGTTTCATATAAAGGTGTGTATTTACCTTTAAAGAAATGGTTTAACATTTTGGGAAAAACACGTTTTGCTTTATTTCTGGGAACATTTTTGGTTAGAGGGCAGGCACTGTCAGAAACTGCTTGGCAGGTCATTCGACAAACCATCTGTCAATCAAACTCTTGCCAAAGCCAGTCAGGAGAAGAGCGAAAACATCTTTCCATCAAGAACAGCCTTCAGTGCCGCTATTTACTCTCCTTGCAATGAAGAAATACTCTCCAGTTCTGACATAACCGATGCAATTGCAGCTACGCTAACGTCTTCTAACGTCACTGGTTTCTAACCAAGAGTTGCCTCACTGCTGTTTTGAAGCCTCAACTTCAGCATTTTGCAACCAGCGAATGGAAGAGACCATATTTGGACTGTGTAGCAGTGACATAGAGACACTGTAGACGTCTCTGCTAGTGGTAGAGACCTGTCAATCACAGTAGCCCCGCCCTCAAGCATTCCCTGCTTTATGGTCTGTTTGACTCTAAATGGACCATAATGTACTAAATGAACATCATGCTGTATTGAAGAAGACTTGAAACTAGAGATTGAGACCATAAACTCATGTTTATGAGGTAATAAATCAAGAGAGAAGTAGAGTCATTTTCTCATAGACTTCTATACAACTAGAGGAGTCGCCCCCTGATGGACACTAGAGAGAATGCAGCTCTAACACACTTCAACAATGCATCGGATTCACTTTTCAGAACCAGAGGTTGCGTGCGATATATGATCTTGCGATTCTCTCATCATCTTGTGATATCGCGAACATCCAGCGGCAGTGCACGATAAACACATGAACACAATACGTTGTGATGATCGACAGAAGGGCAAAGAATCCTCGTTTATGATGATGTCAAAATAAAAGGGCAGATAGCAATTGACCAGTTGGTAAAAAACTATCAACTTAAGGCACACACACACACACACACACACACACACAGAGAGAGAGACAAAGAGAGAGAGAGAGGGACAGAGAGAGACAGAGAGGGAGAGACAGAGAGAGAGAGAGACAGACAGAGAGACACAGAGAGAGGGAGAAACAGAGAGGGAGAAACAGAGAGAGAGAGACACAGAGAGAGGGAGAGACAGACAGAGAGAGAGAGAGAGACAGAGAGAGAGAGAGACAGAGAGAGAGACAGACAGACAGAGAGAGACAGACAGACAGAGAGAGACAGACAGACAGAGAGAGAGAGACAGAGACAGACAGACAGACACAGAGAGAGACAGACAGAGAGAGACAGAGAGAGAGGGAGAGACAGAGAGAGAGACACAGAGAGGGAGAGACAGAGAGAGACACACAGAGAGGGAGAGAGAGACAGAGAGAGACAGACAGAGAGAGAGAGACACAGAGAGACAGAGAGGGAGAGACAGAGAGAGGGAGAAACAGACAGAGAAAGGGAGAGACAGAGAGAGACAGAGAGAGGGAGAGACAGAGAGACACAGAGAGAGGGAGAGACAGAGAGAGACAGACAGACAGAGAGAGAGACAGACTGATGGAGGTGTCGGAGACCAATACTCAGATGGAATGAGAGAGAAGAAATTAGGTGAAGAGAATGAACCAGAGATGATGGGTCATTGTGCCAGCACAGTGCACACAATTAAGCATCGTCCAGGTGCTGAGAGCCCCGGCAATTACAGCCCAATTAATGCCAGTGGCATGATTACGGTTACAGCTCAGGATAACTACGCTAACACAGCTCACGGAGAAGAAGAAATAAAGGAAGAAGAGCTGGTAATTGAATTCCTGCTGGATCTGTGAGAAGAACACAAGTAAGAGCGGAAAGCTGGAAGCAAGTATGAAAGGCAGTGAATGTGAGACTCTCCATCGCTCTGCTTCATCATGTCACGCTATCTCTGGCTCTTAGAAAGCAGGCAGGCTGAAAGAGTTCTCCTTCTTACATGGATGCTATTACAACGCTGCTGTATTTGATATTTACAGCATTAATGTAGTCTATGCTGGACCCGAGCAGGGAGAGAAGTTACACTCACGTCAAGGCGGAGCACTTGTGTCCAGTTAGACTGCTGAACTGTAAGAATTAGTCATTATGTACAAATAATACTTCACGCTATGCATGCTTTAAATCACAAGACATCACATCTTCACTTTACTGATACACGTGTTGTGATCTACTGTCAGTGTGGCAGCATCACCCCGTGTGAAGGCAGCAGTGATGAACAGCAGGGCAGTGAACGCACCACGGGACTGTTCGTCTTCATACACATTTCTCTATTCATACTGGAACCTCGATATCTTAATTCATGCAGTTTTAAGTTGTTAAAAATCACCTTTGTATAGTCTGCTCACACACACAACACACACACCTTCCCATTCTAGTTCACACAAACGCACAGAGTGGCATGTCTTGGCCCTGCAACAGAGCAGGCAATAATTACTCATTCAAATGAACATGTCAGTCTACCGACAGACAGGCCCTTCCCCCCCGCCTCACACACACACATCCTTCACACATGAGACAAAAAACCACACTTGGCACAGATGCAAGCACACACACACACTTCATGTTGCAGTGTGGGAGAGATCCATCAACGACCCAGCATGCAGACAGGCTCCATACGGTAGCGCTGTTTTAAGCTGGTCCTCACTGTACGCCTGCCATGTATCAGCTCAACAACACACACACACACACACACACACACACACACAGTGACAGCACCCTTCTGTTATACATTTGAAACACTAGGCAGAGTAGTCCAGTGCAATGCTCAGATACGCAGCAGCACCTTTTATGATCCACAAAGTGACTGTTGGTGTGACTGTGGCAACAAGAAAACACAAGACATCTCTGTGTGCGAGTGAGTGAGTGTTTATATGTGTGTGAGTGTGCGTGAGTGAGTGAGTGTTTATATGTGTGTGAGTGTGCGTGAGTGAGTGT